GCCTTATTTTTTGCTATTTCCTTCAAAGCAGCTTGATCACCATAGGCTCTTGCTCATATGTTGTTTCATTAAATTCTTCTGTGTCTGCCAATTATTTTGTAAATTTTTATACTGCCTTCTGTCGGCTCCTGTTTTTTTTTTTTTCAACTTCCTAAAGGAGCTCTTGCTGTGCTCCCAGAGATGAACGGTAAGGATATCAGAACTGATGCCTTTGAAATGTGTTGGAGAAGAGTGGTATCTATCTCACCGAATGCCAAAAGAATAGATTATATCCTAGAGAAAGTGCAGCCAGAGTGCTCCTTAGAGGCAAGGATGACAAAGCGTGGTCTCCCACACTTTAGGCACGTTGCTAGGAGAGGCTGTTCCTTGGAAAAGGGAATTATGCTTGGAAAGCTGGGAGAGTCAAAAAGAGAGGCAGGCGCTTGGCGAGATGGGGAAGCACAGTGACTGCAGCGAGGGGCTGAATGTGTCAGAGACGAGGAGGATGGCGCAGGACGGGAAGGGTTCGGATCAGTTCTCTGGGAGATGCTGGCGGAGTTGGTAGGAGGTTGTGCTGCCAACCTTAAGATGGTGACCTCTGGTGGTGCGAATCCACCCCCAGCTCCGACAGGTGAAGGTTCTGGGTCTCCTGCCCTAAGACGCACCTTGGAATCCTGGTGGAATGAGCTTTGAGTGGGAGAGAAGCCCTAGAGAGCCCTGGTGCATAAAGTGCTGGCATGCTAGTTGGGCTCCTTCACCAGTGGCTCCGCAGAGGAAAGGAAGCTGCTTCCTCGCGTGTTTACAGCCCTGGGAACCCAATGGAAAGGTGCAGGGGGTGGGAGGAGCATAAGGCAAGGTGGGCGGGCTGCGGCTAGGAAGGCTTACAGCCATGGAAGAGGTCACCAGTCAGATGGCCCTGGGTTGTTTTTTTTTTTTTGGTTTCCTGACGTGCCTGTTGAAAGCACGTGTCAGAGCGAGTGGCTGTCAACAAGACGTTGAACAGTCACAGGGCTCAAGCTCGTTGTGGTGCTCTCTGTGTTTTGAGTTCCTCCAGTGCAGGGAGATGGCCTTCAGTGTACCATGGAAGGAGCCAGAGATCGTGCCAACCAGACTGGGGCCTATGGGAATAGTAGCCATGGCAACCACAGTGCAGAACAAGAGACCTGACATGAGATGGAGAGATGAGGAGCCGGAGATAAGAGCCTTGCCCCAAGTTTGCGGGACAACTGGAGGGGAGTGGGGGATTGCAGAGAGCAATAACTGGCAGGACCGAGAGCTTTGTAACACTGACCTACAGCTGCAAGGTTCAAGGCTGGGGCATCTGTGAGCACATTTCGGAAGCCATCCTTACTGTTGGGCTGCTAACATGAATCAGAGCCTTTTGACATCCCCAGTATGGTTCTGTGTGGCCTGTGGGCTATCAAGTTGGGGTTGGGGCTAAAGCAGTAAGATTGGTGTTGGGATGAGTTAAAAAGCGGTACAGGAGCGTGGGGGATGTGCATGACTTCATGGGAATTGGTTCTGTGTTGTTGATGCTGTTGACAGGAACAGTTCCCTTTGTGAAGTTGGTAAAGGTCAGATATGGCCGTCCCCATGTGACCCCTGCTCTTTTTACAGAGGACATGGAACACAGGTAGAAAACCCTCTTCTGAGAAGAGGCCCAGCTGCAGGTGCCAGAGCCCCCGTCCTCCGTGACAGTATTGACAGAGCCCCCGTCCTCCGTGACATCATTGACAGAGCCCCCGTCCTCCGTGACATCATTGACAGAGC